AACACAATCTGGGTCTCATCACACTCACCACTCATAAAGCTAGCAAGTAGACCACTAAGCTCACTCCGCCCTCGCGGATCATACCTCGGTGGCAAAACACTACCAACCCGGTCGCCCAGGAAATGGAACCACTCCCCGCTCTCAAGGTACATAGTGTGACCCTCTGGCGGTAGCAATCAATAACAGCCGGTATGACGATAACCAGTCCATACCCAAAATAACATCAAAACCCTTCATGGGCATGACAACAAACGGAAAAGGAAGCCTATAGTCGTCACTGGGACCCCGTGCAATCTCACTACGTCCCGAATATACAAATCGGCAAGATGATCTACCAAATCTCTCACGTGCATAGGAATAAAGTGCGCCGACTTAGTCAACCGGTCTACAACCACCCAAATAGCATCACTACCCCGCTGAGTCCTCGGAAGACCTACAACGAAGTCCATAGTGACATGCTCCCACTTCCACTCGGCAATAGGCAAGGGTTGCAACAAACCCGCTAGGGCCGGTTTAGAGTGAGAAGCTCTGAAAATGACTTTTGGAAAATAAGAGAGAGAAAAGATCTTGAAAAAGTGATCCAAAAGTCAGATCTCGGATCTATATAAAAGTCTCTCCGCTCGAGCGTCAAAACCCCCGCTCGAGCGTCACTCACAGACTTCCGCTCGAGCGACCAAACTCCAGCTCGAGCGCCGGATACACACTCCCAGCACTTTTACAGAATCAGGTCTCCGCTCGAGCGCCAACTCCCCCGCTCGAGCGTCACATACAACACTCCCGCTCGAGCGGTCAATCCCACGCTCGAGCGTCCAACACTACACAGGAAATACTGGATTAGTGTATTCTCCGCTCGAGCGCCAGAAACCCCCGCTCGAGCGGACAGGCAAAAATCTGGGCAACTAGTTTTGGTTTCTAGACTTAACCAACTTGCAACAAACCTGCCCAACACATCCTATAACTCAAACACAAAGTAAAAAGGATGCAACCAAGATAAACAACAACTACCCACATCCACGGACACATGTCCGAATCACTGTACAACAAGGGTAAACCCGGGATCGCTATAGAAACTGCTTCTTTGATGTTTGATATAGAAATTAAATAAATATAAGATAAAATTATTTTCCTTGCATCACGCCTTTTTCAATTAGTTAAATTAAGTGAGTGCTTCATGCTAACATGTAACAACAAAAACAAATAGATACACTATCCTCTGACTGATTTTCCATAAGAAATACGTACACATGCATACATGCATATGCTAGATAAAATTACATAGGAAAAATTAAAAAAATAAAAAACCCACTGGCATAACACATTGTTGAAATCAGTCAAGTCCTTATAAAGGAAAATCTCAAATAAAAATGAATATCAGAAAAATTATGCACACTTGTTTGAGAAGAGAAGACTAGCAAAGCTGAAATAATATTTTCAGCAAAAGTATAAATCTCTTTTCCCAATATCAAGAATAAATATGTGATTCACCAAAAATGTATAAAAGTAAGCCAAGTATTTCAAAATCATGTGTCAACAAAGAGATTGATGCACCTAGTAGCAACTTCAAGAAGCTTTAGGTGACCTTCATCTAAAGGATTAAATGAACCAGATAAAATTATATTCCTTTCTGTATCAGAAGTATATGTCTCTGCAAAACATATTCTTCATAAAGAAGAATAAACAAAAGATGAAGAGTCACTTGAAGGTAAATCCAACCCAAGGGTTAAACCATACCACTTGAAAAGGGATAAACCATAAAACATATTTCCCCACTTATAAGCTGCTCTAATTCTTGATCTTCATCAAAGTGCTTTACACATTCGTCAGTATCTTCAAATTCAGTCAATTCTGAAACAAATGTTGTTAGAACTTTGCAAGCATTTGCAATTACCTATAACCAAAAGATAGTTCAACAAGTTAAGGTATTAGTGGCTTCATAAAAAATCAAAAACACCAGAAAATGTAAAATAAAAAATAATTGGAAACATAGTTTTAAAATAACAGAATAGATATTCAAATTCATTGAGCTTATTATATGGACTGTGTACTGCTCTGCCGAAAGATAAAAGTATAGATAACATGAATAGTCACCAATGTTGACAATTAAGGGGTGGGTTGCTACAAATGACTATAAAATCAAATAATTGGAAATCATCAATGCTAGATAAATATTAATTTGGCTAGATACTCATTCTCTCACCTCAGCATGACTAACAAGAATAATATTCAACTATTGGGTACTTAAAGGCCTATTCCTCACAACTATCCATCATAAATTTTCTCAATACCGAATTTGGGTAAAGCAAACAACCTATTATTGAAGTGGTACTATAATTTGATTCATCCAACTTGCATATACACAAGTAGCAGTAACATGATTTAAAACGAATGAAGCCTAAGGGTTAGTGACAAACATAAACCAAATATAGGTAAATATCTAACCAAAAAAAAAGAGGGAATGGGGAGCTGAATAACTCCCGAGTAAGAATCCAAGAAACATTTTTAAAAGACATTGAAACTAGGAAATAGACATCAACTGGTATTGTAACAATTAGAATGGGTTACTATATGAGAAAATTAAAACAGCATTTGAATGAACTTCTAAGTTTGGCTTTCTTGTTGTATAGACAAATCACCAGTGCCTGACTATAGTTATATTAAGCTTTAGGTTCACAATGAATAGAAACTCATGTGTACTACACGAATATCTATATTTGGGACTACAAGGCCCTACAAAATAGAATGAAGTTCTTTCTTGTTTAGATCCTTTCAAGTTGAAACATCAAATTTTTGTTTCTTATTTCTACAAAGCTCATAGCAGAATATACACCAAATTTTTTTTCCTGAACTATGATTGCTGGTTAAAGCATGCCTAAGGGTGACTGGCGTCCTGTGCTGGAATCCCTGGGTGATAATGTTCTATAGAGGGAAATCATGGAACAACAAAGCATCAAATCGAATTGTTTCCATGCTCTGGGTATGATGAAAATTCCATGTAGAATAGAACAATCAAGATTAATACTTCATCCATATTAAATGATCCAGGAGTATACAAGGAAACTTCTAGTGAAATACAAATACATTTCCTTTTCTTTATTCAGACATTACTATTGGACCCATGTTTCACTTTTCTATCCATGTTGCACAATGAAGAACATTAATAATTCATGCATTATGAACTCTCCATGGCCCCTAATTATATACTGGCAAAGTATCTTATTCTAAACATTGTATTGTATATGAGCCATTATTGTCAGCAGTAGGCCTTTCCAGCAGATATCTAGAAGCATGATATCTACTAGTTTTCATAGATTAGAACAACCATGTTTTTTAGGCATCTAAGAGCATGATCTTCCCAATCCAAAAAGAAAAAGCATAATCTTTCATGACTGTAACATGGACAAATTTATCTTCAACAAAAAATTTAAATGTAAATGACAAGCATCATGATGATTCATTCTCCAAGCATGAAATCAATAGGATATGATTTGTAATGTCTATTGCGCACCTTAAGTAATACATGACTAGAAACCCTATCTTTTTGCTCTCAATTTCGCAAACCCTAAATCAATTCATTACAAAACAACAAAACAAAGAGGGATATTAAGAGAGAGACTAAAAAAATGAAAAAATACAAATGAAAAAAGAAACAAAGAAAGAAAAAATAACGAATTTAGATTGACTTGACAAACTTACATAGTATGAAATAAACAAACAAAGTTTAGTTTCGATTCTCAGCTGTGTACAAATCCAATCTCAACTGTAAGCAAATTCACACAAAAAGGAATCAAAAAATTAAGTTAGAGTTTTCATATTTCAATTGTATAAGCAAATGGGGTTTTCTTCAATCCACCTCAATCAAATTAATTACAAGAGGCAAAAACTACAGGTTTAGCAAATTCAAGGTGAAGAAACTCTTGACAGGTTGAACAACGAGGGGGCAAAGATCTGAGAAGTTGAAAATTATAATTAGGGTTTGAAATTGGAGGAACGAGAGAGAGAGAGAGAGAGAGAGAGAGAGAGTGTGTGTGTGTGTGTGTGTGTTTACTTGATGCAAGAGGTCTGCAATCGAGAGGATTAGCAATGGTAGAGTGTAGGTAGCTAAAAATATATGGAGGCAAAACTCAAAATGTCAAAAAATGTAAGAAGAAACAGCAATAAAACACCTAACCACAAGAACTAAAATAATACTGTAAGCCTTTAAGTTTGTTAGCACTTTCTTTGCTTCCTTCCAAAAGGTAAAATGAAGTGCTACTAGTGAAAACTTAAAATTGGAAGTCTTTTGTTTGGCAAAACAGATCAATTTGAAAAGACAGTGGGGCTTTCCATTGCTCATTTTGTTTTCCAAGAGAGCATTCATTTTCAGTTGGTTATCCCATTAACCCAGTCATAAAGTATTTTTGTGATGACAACTAGAATATCATAGGTGATTTTCGGAAATTAGTTGATCTCCTATTTATTGTTTATTAAGAATTGGGTTGAAGTTGTTTTACCACATTTCTCTAGTGAAAAGAGTCATATCCTTCATTTACCAATTTTATTTTCCGGCAGAAAATGATTTACATGGGAAAAAAAAGAAACATTGTAAAGATTTACTTATCTTCCCTATTCAGTAATATAAATTGTTCAAATTACATGATAAGTTGATCACTGAAATGTTTGTACCTGTGTGTGATCTGTGGCATACTGCTTTCATCTTTTGTCCAACTTCGAGTTAACTGAAGTTTCAACTTTGTCATCTGATAATTTTTCACTCGCAGTGGTAGACAATTTTGACCATTGGTTGTATTCATCACTCAAGTTGAGGATAGCCAAAAAATATTGAGCTAGTTCTGCTTCCCCAATTAAATAGTCATTAACAGCTCCTGCATTTCAAATTTAAAGCATGTATCAGAGCAAAATTGCTGAAAAATCTAAAGACCTCAATTATCTAACCAATCCCAAATAGGAGAGAATTTTGTGTGGTTTAAGAGAGTACTCTAGCACATTGTTTTTCACCCTGTTAGATCATAAAAAAGAGAATTTTTTATTAACCATACCTGTTAAAGCAAGTTTCGAACGCACCTCAGCATCAGGAATCTCTGGAGGCAAAACCTCAACTATTACATGATAAACACATACAGATAAAGGAAGCTGAAAGAAAAGAGACATGTTGAAAAACCTCAGTATAACAAAGGTCTTCTCTTACGACCATTTTTTTTAGAGAAAATGAAATAACAAGAGAATTTGGAATGCATTTGCTATAATTCTCAACCCAAACAATTCTAGTAATATAGGCATAGATGAAAGCAAGATTACACACCTTCAAGCTGCTGATATCTTTTGTCTCCCCTGGCAGTGGACTCACTGTTGCATGTTTCAACTTTCCTTTCTCTTAAAAATAAAAATATGCCACCAAATTAATGACCATAAATACATTTTTTTTTTACGAAAAAAAGAATCTTAAAAATTAGTTCTTCTAAATCAAACTTTTTAATTAGAAAATTAATAATGGACAATAGGATTTAATAAGGTTGAAGTACCTGTAGCACTAATCTGCCCAATATAATGCAAGGAGTTAGCCAGGGCTGACTTGCCAACTTTGGGAATCCCAACTAGCAGCACTGTTACGGTATGATTAACATGATCAGTCTTCTTCAATTCTCTAACTCGGGCTTGTTAGAAGTTTAGGAACTGTAAAATGTGAACTCCAATCAAATGCTACTAAATTTGATAAACCAAGGTTGAATTAAGAGAATCAACTACAGAACAATGAGCTTTATTGCCTTCTCATAGATGAAGCTATTATGGAACTTTCATTATGGACATGAAGTTCAGACTAGAGTCACCTATAAATAATGATCAAAAGTAATCCTTTCCAAGTAAACCCCAAGTTCAAACAAAAGAAGAGAGAAACAAATCTTAAATAAGTTTCTATAATCCTTGTTTAGAACTGTTCAAGAGGTAATTGCACTTTTTAGTGCACCAATGTATGTGACTACACAGTGACTCACTGCTAAGTAAGAACAAACCGGGCTCATTGCAAATGCCATCTTTAATGAACCAAACACTGTCTCTAAGGGTAAATAATGATGTGTCCTGTTTTCCTTTCACTTTAAGCTAAAATGCCTATTATTGTGGTTTATAATTTTTTTTTTAAAAAAAAATGTCAATCTCTCATCATTCTGAACAAGATTTTGATATAAAAACTCTCTGTTTGTAAATAATTTTCCTTACTATAATTAAACTGGTTATGTATAATCATGGGCTACAGAAATCAAATTTCATAATCTTTCTATAAACATGAATCAGTCTAGATAAGAATCTACCTCCAGGTAATGAGATAAACTTCTCGAAACTCCAGAGAGCAAGTTGTTCTGTGTTCAATCAACAAAAATTTAACTCAATTTACACAAATTTGAGTTCAAAATCACATAAAACGAAATCAAAACATTGATCCTTTTTAATGTCCAGAACCAGAGATTTATAGCTGATTCAATAATTTTGAAAACAAAATGAAGAAAAGATTGATCTTTTCAATGTCCAAAAGCAGAACAGAGGAAGACAAGAGATGGATATCTGATTTGACGATTTTGAAAACATTTTTTTGAAATGGGTATGCTTGAAATCGACGGAGATGAAGTGGGTTTTTGTTTTTTGGTTATGGAAAAGGGGTCGAAGACTGGAGGATTGTAGAATCAGGTCGAAGACAACCAACCAAAATTGAACCAAAAGCAACGAAACGCAAAGAGAAGAGAAGAGAAAAGAAAAGAAAAGAAAAGAAGAGATTGTATTGATTGTTGTCGACGCCGAACCAGGTTGAAGTCTCCAAAAAGAGATTGAAGCCCTTCCAGATCAAAATGCCCAAAATTCGTCTTCGAACCCTCTCTCTCTTCTCCCTCTCTTGTTGACTTTGAACCGCCTCTTTTCTTCGCCATTTCTATGTTCCTTTATGATTAGAAGTCATTAGAACCCAAACAGTTCTCTCTTCTTGACTTCGAACCATCTCTTTTCGAACTGTCTCTCTTCACCATTTCTATGTTCCTTTATGATTAGAAGTCATTAGAACCCAAGTAGTTGTGTATTTTGATTTTTTTTTTTTTTTTTTTTGCTTCGAATATGGGGGTACTGCACACGGTGTTACGGCCGTTGAAAGAGAGAGAGAAGCAAAACAGACTAGGGCAGGACTGGGCTGGGAGTGAGAATGAATTAGGGATTTTAGATACACAACCAAGAAGAGAATAGAAGCATGAGACGACGATAGATACCTTTGATTTCAAATATACAACCGAAGAGAAGAGATGAGATGATCTGGTAACCTATCAATTGATTCGGCCTTCATCATCATTAGAGAGGGAGAGAGATTGAAACCCTTGTGATGTTCTATTTTGATTAGAGGAAGGCAAAATACTTATTTTGGAAAGAAAGAAAATTCTAATATATATATATATATATATTGTGGGAGCCGAATAATGGTAGAATCAGAAGGTGCGTATCTTAGAAGACTAATAATTAATCGGCTGTATCCTACGGGAATGGGAAGCCGAATATAATATATGTGCCGAATAAGTGTAGATCCTTAGAGTCGGATAAGAGAAAGGACAATGATTAAAAAGTAGGCCCTGGCCCCGAGGATCAAAAGGAACAGGTATAAATGTAGGAACAATGGATTGAGAAAGGTATGTAAGAATCAATTCACTTAACTTAGTAAACAAGCTATCCCGAGTGTTTGAACTAACTTGTCCGTCGGAGTGCTAATTCCGGCACCCCCGACCAGAGTGTTTGTATCTTTTCAGGTGACTAGCTGAGGATCACTAGCGTCTCCCAGGATCTGAAAAGTATTTCCAAACCACTTCTACACAATTGGCGCCGTCTGTGGGAATACTCAAATACATCCATGGCAGGCGTGACTGAAGATCCTCCAATAGCCACCGACGAGACCACACAGAGAGATGACCTCACTCCAGCAAATATCCTCGGAAAGGAAACCATCGCTACAAGACGCGCCTTGAACTTCGATTCACCAACGACTTCAGCGCAAGAGACAATGCAAGCGATCATGGAACAAGCAAAGCAGAATGAACAAAGGCTGCAGAACATGATCACTGAAAATTAACGTCTCTGTCAAGATTTGGCCCTAGAAGTAGAAAAATCCAGAGAAGCCGTGCACCAAGATCCCGAACGACCTCCGAGGGCAGGTGGACAACGACCTCGAGCCCGACCAAAGGATACCGATAGCGACTCCAACTCATTACCCACGG